GAGTGCCTGTAATGCTTTTAAGAATAAAGGGCAGCACATGCACTCAAACCAGACCTGGATTTTTCCTGTCCTGCAGCTCTTTCTTTGCTCTGGCTCAGAGGGGTTCTCTGATGTAGCACACCCTGCACGCCTGACCTGGCCTTTCTGTCCCCACTGCGTAATGTGGGTGACAGAGCCCACTGCCACCTCCCACCATACATTAAATAAATGCATTCCACTGCCAGGAGCCATCTGTACAGCTAGGGCTGCCCTCTTCCTGGTGGGGATTTTAGCTTGGATGGACGAGTTTCTATTAGTGATGCCAACCCTGTCTGGTTCCTTTCTAGCGTGAGCTGCAAGCCCAGGGTTAAATGTGTGATTGTCATAGTCTGCACCAACCTGAACAGCCTCCCTCTGGAAGTGAGGGGTAGGAGATGGCAGGCTGGTTCTGAGGGAAACAGATGAGCTCACCTTCTGCCTCTCAGCTCCTGAACTGATCCTTCACAGGCTGCAGTGGCTTTTCCTGCTCCTGGCCACCCGCAGCACATGAGGAGTGACTCTGCTCCATTCCATGGTAGAAGGGACAATTTGGCCATCAGAGGGTTGGTTGCTGCACGGTGTGTCTCCACTGGTGGAAGTGCTTGTTTCTCACAGGGCACTGTTGACCTTATTCTGGCTGAACTGTCTGTGGGTGTTGGGCAACGAGGCTGGAGCTGTTGGCGATCGTTGTTCAGAACTGTTTAACTCAGAATGAGCTGATAAAGTGGAAGCTTGGGGTCTGGTTCTGTGCAGAGGGCCAGGCATGGCTCTGCCTTCAGTCAAAGTGGGACTGAACCTGAGGGTTTTCCCTGGAGTCCCTGGTCAGTGGCTCTGCCTTCACCGCTGGGTGCCTCGGGTAGGTCTTGCACTGGCTCTGGTGTTGTGCAATGTCAGCTGGGTCACTTCCACATTCCCTGCCTATATTAAGGTCCCTGTTTTTCCCCATCCATTCTGGCATCCTGTATTTGAGCTCATGATCCTTTAACTTTGAGGGAAATCCACCTGCTTTTCTTATAGCAAATGAAAATCTGGACCAAGAAGATGAGGAGTGCAGAAGCTTTGACTTCCTTTGCAGCCAATAGCTGGGATCTGACTGGCTGCTTTCCATGGGCTTTCCCAAAACCTGCCAAGAGGGGCTGAGACACTATTACTTGTGATCCAGTCACGTTCTCCCTTGCCCCAGCAATACTCTGCTTTAATCTTCTCCAGCCTTGCATCAGCTGTTTATTTTTGGAAAGGCTGTTGCATTATCTGGTGGTTGAGGCAAGCAGGGAGTTGGGTTCCTGCTCCTTTGGGAGTCCCACCATGCTGGACCCTTCCCACTGTCGGGGTGGAAACAGCAGTGGCTTCCTCACCCTTCAGGAAAACATAAGCAGCTCTCTGAGGCCTTGCCCAAAGTGTTTGATTGTTTGTGTTCCCCTCTGTAAGCAGGAAATACCAAGTGAGGGTCGTGTTCACTGCAGGAATCCAGCAGTTGTATGGATGTGGATGGCTGGGATGTGTGAATGACCTGCTGTAGTGGCCTCTGGGCAATGGACTTGAGGGAATCTGCCTCCAGGCCTCTCTTGTCTCTAAGGCATTGAGCGAGGTCCACAAACATCTGGGGCCAGTGCTCAGCTGCTTTAAACTTCCCAATGACCTTGGGCCAAGCCACTCTCTCCACTGGTGTCTTGTATCCAGTATCAAGCTTTTTGTCTTTGATGCTGGGTGTGCAAATACACAGGTGCAATGGCCTCTGCTCTGCACAGGCACCAGTCCCTGAGGGTTCCTGGTCCTTCCATAATCCACCTTAGTGAGACCAGAAACCAGCCCTAAAGGGTCATCATTTGAGCTGAAAACACCAAGTTGTTCTCTAGGCTTGGCCCTGCTCTAGCCCCCTGCCTGGGATGATTCTGTGAGTAAAGTTACTGCAGTTGGGAAGAAAAAATGGAAAAGCAAGAGGACAAATATGGTCTTGTTTAAAGGAACTTTGGGGTTTGACCGTGACCTAAAGCATGTGCTTTATTCAGCAGTTTTTACAAGCAGGAAGCTTTATTTTAAGGCTACAGCACTTGCTGAATCGTGGAGCAGGAGAGAACTGAGTGCAAGAAGTAGTTTCAGTGAAGCAGATTTTGCTATTTTCAGAGCTTTCCTGATGTCCTCACCATTGGGTTTTAATTGCCTTAAGCAGGTGCTTCAGGAGCATCATTAGATGCTGCTCTGGTGCAGCAAAGGGGGTGAGATCTGGGTAATCTTTGAGAATGTCGGGTTTGTGATAGAGACCATTAAGTTAAAAACAACACCCCTCTTTGATGTGAAGGGGTTTGGGAGGATTTTGGGGGAGAAACAAGAAAGCAGTGGTGGTCAAATTGGCTTCAGACCTTTACTGAGGACCTGTATTTACAGTGGTCTCCTGCCTGCACTGGGATCTGTGCTTTCTGTTTAATCAGAAATAGCCCAGAGTCACTCTGTACACAGAGTTCTGGGCTTTGGCCTCTTCTTCTCTCAGCTCCCTGTTTCCATACCTCAGGAGAACTCTGGCCTTCCTGGCAGAGCTGGAGAGGAAGAGGAGGGGAGAGACTGATGTACTTGACTGCAGTCTGCACATATAAATAGTTCTCCTCTTGGATCCTTCCAGTCTGATCTTCTGGGTGATTTGACCTTTCTTTGATAAAAGCTTTCTTTATTTGCAGGAGTAAAAGGTCAAAGGGTAGGAGAGGACACAGCAGATTTTTTTTAAAATATATTTATATCTTGGCAGTTGGTTTCTGCAGCACCCAGCACTCACTGCTGGGCCAGCTCCCCCCTGGGCTCCAGCTTTCCTTCTTCTCTGAGCTCCTTTAGTAAACTTGGCATTTAACTCTAAAGCATTGGCCTGAAGATCTCTAAGGAAGTTTATGGAAGTGTTTTATCGTGGGGACACGCATGTCTTCCCACGGGGATGGATGTCCTGGCTCCAGCCCGCAGCCCTGCTGCCACCTGGGCAGGTCACTTTGGGCACAGGGCTCATTTTATGCCCACTGCACCACTGACCCTAGTTTTCCTTGGTTCATAACTTCAGCTGAAAGAAAAGCTGGTGTTAAATGCTGCTGGTTTTTCCTGTGTTCACCCTGAAGTAGTTTGAGCTCAGCATCCAAACACAGCTTGGTTTAATGTGTAAAACCATGGGACTCTGGCACTGCCCAGGTTATGGACGAGCAAGGGCAGCACAGGTGCAGTGTTAGAAGTGCTCCAGATGGCACATGAGGCTTTCTGGCTTGAGTTCTAACCATTAATTGCCACTTTAAATCCAGCAATAAATTATTTGGGCAACCACAGTGCAGGATCCCCCTGCCAGGAACAAACCAGAGCTGAGCACTACTCAGTCCCCTTTGTGCTTCAGGCCAGCACAGCTGGATGGGCAGGGCACTCCTGCACTCACTCTGGTGTCTCACTGACCTTCTGGCCGTGGTTTAAGCCATCCATCGTCCTGCACACCCTGTTGTTGGTGTTGGAGGTGTACTGCATGCTCGTGTTTGCTCCCGGGGCGCGGGATGGTGTGCAGGATGCCTCGGGATAAGCCTCTGATCCTTTGCAAATTTGATTTTGTGGCTCACTTGCCTGTCCTCTTGGATGAAGGTTCCCCTTAGCTGCCTCTCCTCTAGCAGAGCTGATGTCCATCTCAGGACTGCAAAGCCTTTTATAATGCTCTGTGGATCAGGAGTCACTCAGAGGGAACAGGGACAGACTTTCCATTTCCCATGGAACACGCTCTAGAGTGAGTCTGTTGCTTCATTCCTTTCTGAATTTCCACTCGGTCTGCACAAGATTCCCACTGGTTTGGTGCCTTTCCTGCTGGTTTTGCTCACTGTGGCACTGAGGTGTTCCTGGCTAGCAGCCCCAGTGATGATGGGTATTGCAGGAAGCCTCTGAGCCACATGGGTCGTAGTGATTGTGTGCTGGGGAGACAATGGACTGCTCAGGAAAGGTCTGCTTCTAATAGGTTTGAAACCAGTTCAATTGGAGATTGGAGGCTATTAAATTTTACCCCTAAAGAAGACAATGCAGGAAAAAGTACTATGTTGGCACGGGGGGGATTGCCAGGGCTTGTGATAAACGCTGTGTGATTCCTGGAAGGATGAAGTGTAAAGCACACCAGCACACACGGGTGGTGGGTTGTGCTGGTGAGGGCCATCATCAGGAAAGGTGAGCAGTTCCAGTTTACCTGTAAGAGCATACTGGTTTGAGTTCCATTGCCTGTTCTGGGAGAGGGTGGTGGCACTGGTGAGGGGCAGCAGACACCACACTCCTTTCACAGCAAGGTCAGGAGCAGCACCAGCCCCTCACTCACACTGTTCTGCACTGATGTGAACAGGACACCTTCCAGGGGTTGGGGGAAGAGTAATTCTTGGCAGGGTTAATTCTTAAATCCTTGGTGCTTGACTTTTGAACAAGGGAGGGAAGTGAATGCTCTCAGAAGTGCTGGGAGACCACCTACTCTTTTGTACAGACTGCCAGCAGCTGACAGATGGAAGTGATTTTGGGACAGTGAGAAGTTGGTGTGGAATCACACTGCTGACCAAGAGCAGGCTCTGTATCCCACAGTCTTTGACTTACAGCCCCCGCTTGTGACTCTTGCCATGGAGGGAAGAGAGTTTCCCAGAGCCACTGGAATTCTTCAGCGGGGTGTGAATTAGCAGTGCATCGATGGTTTGCGGTCTCTTGTGGTTCACTCTAATAGACACATGTTCCTCTGAAGATGCTTTTTGGCAAGCACAAGTATGGCTGAAGGATGTGTGGGAGTGGGAGCTCTGACTGGAAACCACGAGGGTCTGGTAAAGCAGAGGAGTGAGTCCCTGTGCTGTGGCACTGACCCCTCAGCTCGACTCTGTGCTCCACGTGACTGCTCCTGACCACAGCTGCCCAGATATCCACCACAGTGTGAGAGCTCTGCTGACCCTGTCCTTGCCCTGTCCCTGTTTGGTGTTTGCCTAAGTGTTCCCTGTCCGTTTTCTGTGTTGCAGCATCTGGAGAGGGCCCAACGTGAACTGTGTTGACAGCACTGGATACACCCCGCTGCACCACGCTGCTCTCAACGGCCACAAGTGAGTCCTGCTCGGATCTTTGCTCGCAGGGATGGATGGTTTGTGCTTTCCAGGCCACGGTTCTGTGTTGTTCATTCACTTGTCACTTCCATGGCGCTGGTGAGGGCTGGTGCTGCAGCACTACTCCATCTTCAGGGGAAGTGGAGAATGTCACTGCTTTGGCTGCTGCACAACGTGATCTTACAGCTTGAAATATTTGGCAAAACATTGAGGTTTTCAACCAACCACCCTTTTATTTCAAAGCAATTTGGATAAGCTGTAACACCACGTGAAAGGGACTCCCTGTGACAGTCCCTGCAGTCTGTCTGGTGTCCAGGGTGGACTGGGCCTGCACCACTCAGAGTTGCCTTGTGTGCACATCACATTTGGAAGTAACTCCAGTCTTTACCATGGTAGATCTCGTGTTATTCATTGCTGCTGAAGGTATTGAGAAATGGAATAGAGTTAAAATCTTTATTCACCTTCACTGTGCTGATGCAATTCACTTTGCAGCAGAGGCTTGTGGGGGCTTCAGCCTCTGTTCAGCTCCATTAGTATGGAGGCAACGTGGATCTTTTCTGAGCTCATCTCATCAATATTTATTTCTCTTTTTTTTTATTTCCTTGGGTGGCATTTAATAGGAACACTTTAAAATCATATTTCAGGAGGATCTCAAATATTCTGTTCAGACTCACTTTTCCTGCAGTACAGAATGTAAACTGTGAAACAAGGACTGAGTGTCTTAGACTCAAGTTCCCTTCTCCTGCAGGGATGTTGTGGAAGTTCTGCTGAGGAACGACGCCCTCACCAATGTGGCAGACTGCAAGGGCTGCTACCCCCTGCACCTGGCAGCCTGGAAGGGAGACGCCGACATAGTGAAGCTCCTCATCCACCAAGGCCCTTCACACACCAAAGTGAATGAGCAGGTCTGCCTGGTTTTCTCTGCTGTACCATTGAATCACTGCCCTTGCGTGGAGAGAGACTCCTTCAGCTGACTCCTGACCCTTCCCAAACCAGCAGCAATGGTTATAACGTCCTGTTTGCTGGTGGGATAAGAGGGGCACTGCCTAAAGCAATACCTTCAGTTCTGAGTTAGTGGTAGGATGAGAAAGGTATTTAAGTTTTATAGACAGACACATAAATATGAGAACTTCTCAACACCTAGGAAGTGTTCTCCTGCTTCTGGGCTTCTAAGACTAACCCATAGTTTTCTTTTCAGTTGCTGGATAGCTGAGCAGGTTTCTAGTTCTGCAGAAGATCCATTGGCTCCCTCCTTTGGGAACTAATCAAGGCAGCTTTGTTTAGTCTCTGTTTGGCCGTGCTCTCTTAGCTGCTCTCCTGGCTTGTCTCTGGCACTTGCTCCAGTTCACTAATTTGTAAGTTCTAAGATAATTTTAACCCTACTTGCCCCTAGATAAATCCCTAGCTTAACCTTAAAGAATTATTTTCTCAATTGGGCAAGAAAAAAGGCTTCTTGGATTTCTTCCATTTGTCAAGCTGATAGTTTTGGTCTGGGCTGCAGAGGGAATGAGGGGTATGAGATAGCTCTGTCCACTCCAGAGGACTGGCTCCTCTGTAACTGTCCCGTGCACATCAGAGGGACCTGACAGTTCCAGAGAACCTCTGGAATGCTACTGCTGGAAGACCCAAATAATTCTCTTGTTTCATAGTTTTGTTTAAGGGAACTCGTTTTCTGAGGGCAGCTGAGCAGGGTCACTGACCTTGTCACTGGGTGAGCCTGACAAACAGTCACAGCCTAAATCAGGTGCTTGAAGATGCAATGGGCCCTGGTTGTCCTGTCCCTAAGGCAGGAACATCTGATATCCCTGTGAGTCAGCTCCCAACCCACTCAGGTGTGCATCAGGAGGAGAGGAGTAAACCAAAATAGGTTTGCCTGCCTTAGTAGAACAAGGCTAAACCTGACCATTCATTCCAAAGGTAATTCCCAGGTAGGTCAGGCACCTGTGGCTTGAGTTCAGCAAATTGTCACAGTCAGGGTGAGCAGCTGGGACCTGGGAGTCCCTGCTGCTTGTTTGCTCTGTGTGTGCACTTTTTCGGAAGCTGAGGAGCAAACTCCCTTCACAGTCAGGTTTAAGAGTCACAGTCCTGCTTCCAGCTGCACTTTATGGGGACCCAAGTGCCACACTGAAGTTCCCTAGGACAGGTAGCTCCATGCACCAGGCTGCCCCAGGCCCAAATGCTGCTAAAACAGCAGGAATGAAAAATCTAATTTCCTGCACTCCTCAGTCGGGCAGGAATAATGAGGAATGTGTGTTTTAATGTCTCTGGTGGTAGTTTTCCAGTTTGGGGCTGTGGTTAATCATGTCTCCAGGCACAGCTGCAGGCACTCAGTCTGATTACAGAGGTTTGAGTTCAGGTAGCCTTTCACAATCAATCTGATAAGAGTTGCCTGAGGGCCCTGAGTGTAAATGTTCTGCTCTGAGTAGGGCAGATAGAGGGGAGACCTTTGCAAAAGACCCAAAGCTTAGTGTGATCCTTGCAGGTAATGTTTCATTAATGTCTGTTTAGTAGGAACCTTGTTAAATGAGAGCAGTCAGCTGAGGAGCCTGTGCTGCCTGTACTTGGAGCCTTGTCCATGCCCTGCACAGGGGTCCAGGTTACAGCAATCCCAGCTGGAATGGCTTTTGCTGGTCGTGGCTCTGACTGGAACAAGATGCTGTGTTCTGGTGTTCCACCCCTTGGAGTCACCCATTGCTTTGTTGCTGTATCTCACCCATTTCATTATCACATTTTTTTCTTTTTCCTCTTCCTTTTTGTAGAATGCTCTTGAGATCAAAGAACTCAAAAAGTACGGCCCCTTTGACCCATATATCAATGCCAAGGTGTGTACTTTGCTGTCAGCATTTCACTGCATCATCACTCCAAGCTGCACTCCGTGATTCCAGGTGCAATAATACCTGTTCACTTTGCAGCTGCTTGGGGGAGAAGGAAAATGGAACCATTTATTTACTGTGGGTTTCTCTCTTCAAAGCAGTTATAGAAACATAATTAAAGGGAAGCTTTTCCTTACTTTCCTGGGGGCTCCTTCCTTGCTTAGCCTTGTAGGACTCATGGTGATGGTCAGTTTGCTTGACTGGGCTGGATGACTTCCCAAAGGTAATGCTACTTCAATTAAATGTTTTAGGTTTTGTTTCATGTGCTGATGTTGCTGATAAATGCAAAGAGAAGGAATTTTTTTCCCTGCTTAACCATGGATGCATTTTCTCTGTGGGCTGTTTGGAGTGAATTTTTATGCCTTTTCTCCTACCAAATGCATAATGCTGTGTGTGTTATTTGAATGGACAGTTAATTCCTGTGGTGGTGATGGGGAGAAGGGAAGGCAGTGACATTCCTACCTCCCTTGCCAAGTCCTCCATGTCCTGCTTATTGCGTCAGTCTCTCTATTTTGATGTTCAGTCTGTGGTGTTGTCTGACCCTTCAGCCCTGGTTTCCTGTTCCTGTTCTCTGGCCTGTTTTGCTCCTCTCTTGCTTTTAGTTGTTGAGCTACAAAAGGCACAACATTGGCTCGTGTGATGTGCTGAGCCTGAGCTGTTGAGGAAGCAGATCGAGTTGCTGGTGGTGTTTTCTCAGACACCCTTTTTCGGTTTTATTTCTAGTGAAGCTGCAAGCCAGGGATGGCAGGCACTCTGCTGCTCTGTCCTGAGGCACCTCTGCCATGAGCCACTGTACCACAGCTGCTTCCAGTCACTTGTTTTGGATCAAGCCATCCATGGCAGACTTCTGTCTCTCAAAGTTTTTTTTTTCCTTCTGTTTGATTGCAGGACCTTAGAAACACACAACCAGAGTTCCTGCACTTGCTGGGAGTTAGGTGTGGTTTTGCAGAGTCCTTTTTCAGGCAGTATCCAATGCCCACCCTCTGAACCCAAACATGCTCCTATAAAGCTTATCTGAATTGGGGATCTTTACAAAAATCCAGATGGAATTTTTCACCAACAAATGTCTTCCGTGGAAACATCATAGTTAAGCAGTTCAGTTGCCTGAAAGAAGCTTCCAGAAATGTTGTCAATATAGCCAAGTAAAATCTTACACTCTCCAGCACTGGGATGTTGAATGAAGAAGGAATGTGAAGGGGGAATATCCAGTGAGATCCCTTTCCTATGGATTTTTGTTTACAAAGTATTCCAGTTTGGATTTTATACTGTGGAGAAGTGCATTATTTAAAGCCTTGGTTCAGTGTTCACATTGGCTGAGGTGCTCTCTAGAGCAAGGCAAGATTTTGGCAACCTTTCCTTTGGTTTTAAGGAGAGAGAGATGATTTATACACAGTTGTTGGGTTCATCACAAGTTCTGACCAGCTTTGCACCAGTTCCTGCCCAGGTGAAGAGCGTGTGGAGTCATACCTGTCACACAGACCTTGGTGTTTTCTCAGTGCACTGGAGCAGCCAAACAACAGGTTGTCGTTAGGGCAGGACTCAGCTGGACATGCAGACACCAACAGAAATCCTACAAAGCAATCTTAGAAGTAGGTTGAGTGGGACCAAAGGGTTGTGCAGCCACTTTCCCCAGCCCTGGGCAGGATCAGGTCTCCCTAAACAACCATTCCTGATCAGTGTTTGCTCAGCAGCTTCTCAGAAAACTCAGAGAGGGGCAGCTCTGTGGACTCTGGCAGTTTATTTGACCCTTCAGATCTTTGCAGGTCAGAAAACTTTCCCTTATTTGACCAGGTCTCCCTTTGCTCAGTCAGAACTTCGCACAGTGTGTTGGAAGCAGGGGATGCAGGATGGAGGGTGCAGGATGGGGGTTGCAGGACAGATGCATGGCCAGATGCACTTTAAGGGGCTCTGGATTCTCCATTTTAGCACATGAGGAGGAGCAGCAGGGCTGTGTGTGGTGAGTGGTATCTCCTTAGCAGGGCTTGGAAACCGTGGTGGAGCCCATATGGAAGCAAAGCCATTCCTGCTTGTGTCCCATTTGTGATCTGCAGAAGGGCATTGTGTGTGCCCAGCTCCTCTTCCCTGGCTGTGAGCTGGGGGATGTGAGGATTCCTGCAGGAATGCAACCCCTGGGCCCTCCTGAGTGCTCTCTTTTTCTAAGTAGTTCTGAAATTTGAAGCCATGTGCCTTCTGGCTGCTGGAATGGAATTTTCCTTTTCCATCTCCGATAAATCTGTACGTCTGAGTGCTCCTACTCACTGCTCAGGCTCCACTCTGGTTTGTGCTTGGAGAGTGATGTGAGAAGAGAGCAAACTCCCTTGCCTAGAAGGACTCTATTTTTGGCTGCTCAAAGCTCTCCCAAAATGGAGTCAATAAAGACTTGGGCAACAGCAGGAGTTTCCAGTGCACAGTCTGGGACAGGGAGAGACCTGCTGTAATGATCTCCACTGCAGGAGGAAAGTCTGGGGATTGCACCTGGAGCGTCAGAGCCCTGACCTGCTTAGGGAAAATTGGACTAAATTGCAGTGAAGATGAGGGAAGTCTCCAACAATTGTTCTTAAAGGATGTGTTCCCATTTATGAGCCCTCAGGCAGGTGTTTGGAGCTGCTGCATGCTTTAAAGCCCCCCTGGTGGATATGGTCCTTGTGCTGAGGAGGGAGGAGAGGGGGACAGTCCTAGCCAAGGCAACCCCCAGTAGCCAAGACAGGCCTGGCATGAGCAGCACGTGCCCCCCCTGGCTCTGAGGCAGGAACCCCATACTCAGAGGGGCTGAGGTCATCCACTCTTTCTGCTAAGCCTGGCAGTGAGACCCCCTCATGCCACAGGGCAGGCTGAGGGCCTGGACCTGGCTGTCATGGGCTCCCTGATCCCTGCTCTTCTGACCCTGTGAAACGAGAATCATGGGATTTGCCAACCCTGTAAGTGCCCAAGAGCAGCAGTGTGAGCTGACGGACAAGTGTGAGCCCTGATGTTCTCTACTCTGTCCCCTCTCACTCCACTTGTATATTTTATGTGCAGACTTCTGTATCCTGCAGTGACCTCTGTCCACGTGTATGTGCCTCCCTCCAGGATAGAGCCTGTTTGACTTGGACCTTCTGTGCCTGCAGCAGTGCTTTGCCCCCCTCTGCCCCTTCCCCCCTGCATGTGGCTGGTGCTGCTCCTGCCTCCTTCGCTTTGCTTCCATACAAACTGCAGCTGCTGGAGCCTCTCCCCAGCTCCTGCTTCCCTCACGCTTTGCCTGTGGCTGAGAAGTGATGCAAAAGCCAGATGTCAATGAGTGGGGGGTTGCAGGACTCCTGTGAGCCTGGGAGTGACCAAACACCTCAACGGGACCCGAGTGCTCGTGCAACTGTGCGAGTTCGTGCCGTGGTGCCAAACACCGAACCCAGAGGCGTGTGTGTGCTCCCACAGCAGGAAGGCAGGGATCCAGTTCCCTTCTGAGGTGCTGCTGCCCTCCAGCAGGACAAGCACATTCTGTTCATTTTAACGGGACTGTTCTTAAAATGACAAATTCAACCACCATTCTCTCAGCTGAAGCTGAAGTGTGTAACGCTTTGTACTAAAATTTTTTGGGGTCAAATTGTCAGATAGTTGTTTCTGAAGTGCTTAAACCACAGTCCCTCTGTGGATAACACACAGTAGTAAAACTAGAAACTTGAGGAGAATTTAATTTGAGAAGAGGCTCTGGCTGTGTTCCTTTTTTGCACCTGCGTGTGCAGTGTGTTGCACCGCTTGTCTTTGGGCTTTGCATTGCTGGTTCTTAGCCCAGCTGCTGCTGCACACACTGGTTGGGTCTGGCTTCCAGCCCGGAGGTGCTGCCTTGTGGCTGGGACATCACTTCCCTCAGCTGATCTGAGGCCTGGCTTGTTCCTGGGGTGATGGAATTGCATGGCTCTCTGGTTCACAAACTGCATGGAACTGGGTGCACCCCATCTCTAAACAGCTGGAATTGCAGAGGTGGAATGATTGTTGTAATCAGGATAAGTAGAATTTGAAACAATTGAAGTTTAAATCTGAAACTATGACGATGAAGCTCCAGCAGATAGAATTCACACAGCAGGTTACCTGTCATGTATTCAGCTTTTTATTTTTGTGGCACCCTGAAGTGTGGGATGCTGCCAACAGATACCAGACTGCTTTCCCCAGGTGAATTAATGGGAATCCAGATGCAGCTCAACACTCCTTAAACTTTAGCATGGCCCCTGGATTCTGACCCCAGTGCTTGGAGAGGAGGCTGGTCCAGCTGTAGCCCCTCTTTCCCACAGCTTTAGCCCACTGTTCTGGATGTTCCTGAAGCTGTGGCTGGGTGGGCAGGTTGATGAGCTCGTGAGGGGATGTCTGTGCTTGGTAAATGGCCAGGTGGATGGTGAGACATTGCTCCAGGCTGATTCAGACTGGGCTCTCTGCTTCCCCACTGCTACTGTGTCTTGTTTTTGCATTTAAACTTCAATGTTGGAGCGAGGTGTGGAGCGGCCGCTCCCCCCGCCCTGACGTGGTGCTGTTTGTGACCCCCAGAACAACGACAACGAGACAGCGCTGCACTGCGCGGCCCAGCACGGCCACACCGAGGTGGTGAAGGTGCTGCTGGAGGAGCTCACCGACCCCACCATGCGCAACAACAAGTTTGAGACCCCCCTGGACCTGGCCGCGCTCTACGGGAGGCTGGAGGTTGTCAAGATGCTCTTGAACGCCCACCCAAACCTTTTAAGCTGCAACACTAAGAAACACACTCCCCTGCACTTGGCAGCCAGGAACGGCCACAAAGCCGTGGTCCACGTCCTCCTGGATGCTGGCATGGACAGCAACTACCAGGTATCTGGTGTGTCTGTCTGCGGGGCTGGGCCGATTGCTGGGGTCAGAGGTCGAGGGAGGGACGCTCCAGAAGGAGCGCTCATGGAAGATGTGGAGAGCTTTGTGTTCTGCTGGGCTGTCTGTGCAGCTCTGGGTTGCTCGGGGGGGCTGCCCAGAGGGACTGGGGTGCTGTGCATGTCTCACACCTGCTCAGGGGCCGGGCAGAGCCCCGGACACAGAGCGAGGGAGAGAAATGTCCTTTTGCTGAAGCTGTTCTGCCCCGCAGTGCTGGGAGCTCTTGATAGTGTTTGAGGCAAATGTGTCTCTTCCTATCAAGCCACTTGTGAATGTGCTGTTTTCACAGCAATGGCTTGTATGTGGGTCTTGTCTTTCCTTGTCAGGACACGACCTCTTGCCAAGCTGTAGAAGGGCCTTTGTTGGTCTCTCACCTGGGCCCACACATCTCTGACGGGACCATCTGCGTTTTCCATCCCCCATCCTCAGCACTGTAATAACACTGACGGTCCCGTCCTCAGCTGTAGGTAGTGCTGCCCACACTGTGTGTACAGTGCCGTGTATTTATTGCTTCCGTAACCCTCTGAGCCACGCCTCCCTCACCATTCCCTGCTGTCTGGCTTCATGCTATGTTTCCATTTAATTTGCAGACTGAGAAAGGCAGTGCTTTGCACGAAGCTGCTTTGTTTGGCAAGACAGATGTGGTACAAATATTGCTGGCTGCAGGTGAGAGAATGTTCCCCCTTTGAAGCACTAATGTGGCGATCCCTTCACCCAGAGCTTGAGGAAATCCCGTTCTAGTGCAGCAGGTTTCTCCATCCAGCTGTCAGAGCTCTTCGGAGCAGGTTATAAGAGAGGTGGGCTCTCAGCGTTTGGCTTTAAATTTGCCTCTAGAGCGCTTTTTAGCTCCCCCCAGTGATGATCACAAATGTGACTTGATGAAAGACATGAACTAGTTAGACAGTATTCTTGCTTTTGCTCTTTCTACCCCATTGCCACAGGTATTGATGTGAACATAAAGGATAACAGAGGCCTGACCGCTCTGGACATTGTGAGGGAGCTTCCTTCCCAGAAAAGCCAGCACATAGCAGCTCTGATTGAAGGTGGGTGATGCAGCTCTGCCTGTAGGGAGGAGAGGAAAGCTCGGGTTGCTGATTGTGCCAGGACAGGTACAGGATGTGCCTCTCTAGGAGGACTTTTGCTGAAGGAGTGTGGCATGACTTTTACAGTGCAAATGGGCTTAATTGAGCTTTGTTCAACTTGCTTTAGAAGTTAATTGAAACTAAGGATATCCTAAATCTACTTGCAGAATGCAAAGTAATAGCTTTAGAAATGGTTTTGGTGTAACTCCCCTTTATGTGTCTGTGTAGGCAAATAGTCATCCACAGATTTCACATCCTGCTTCTCGCCTCGTTTCGAAGACTGGGCGTGGAGTTTGCAGATGAGATTTACAGAAAGGGCCTTGATTACTTGTGGCTTATAAAGGAGCTTGGCCCATTGTGTCTGTCCAAGTTCAGGAATGAAATGTGACATCTTGGCTAAATTCATACTTTGTAATTACACTGTCTGCATTTCCTCTCAGCTGTGGGGAGGATCAGAAGCATTTGGAGCTGGGGTGCGTTATTCATGCTGAGCATTTGGGAGCTTTGCAGGTTCAAAGCACTTTGCAGACTTTTAACTAAGCTTTGCCTGTGAGGCTGGTAGGTTTTAGGTCTATTCTAAAACTGAGGACAAAGATGGGCTTTAAAACTGAAGATCCTGCAGGTAAAGGCTCTCAGTTTGCCCCGGGAGGGAGCTGCTGTTGGACATTACTCACATCAGCTGATTGCTTCTGGCTTTACCTGTGGTTGGGGGGCTGCAGCTGTAATAGGTTTCTCTGTCTTGTGACTGTTCAGTGATGGAGCTTGTGTCTACAACACCAATCTGCTCCGTGATGCTGTGTCCATACAGCAACTTTGCAGCTTTCTGATTAAAGACTCTAGAAGTTCAAAGGCCCCTTGTGCCTGTGATTAAAGAGGCCGTCTGCTTCTATTTTGGGATCTGAGCTGCAAGGTTTAATAATGTGCTTTGGTTATTTTTTGGAAACTTAATAAGCTGACAGTTGGCCTTCCACCCGCGCGGGAGGAGGTGCCATGTGCTGAAGGGGACAGAAAACCAGGCTGACGTGAGCTGACCCTGTGCCTCACCCATTCCAGATTACACTGTTGGGAAGAAAAGTGCCAAAGCTGCAGAGAAGTCTCCTCCAGCCCCGCTCGCTCCCGCCGCCGATCCCACGGGCCGGACAGCTCAGGGTGGGCACCCCCAGCTCTCCTCTCCCTGCGAGTGCTGACGCCGAGGGCGGGAGCCCCGGTGATGAGCCTGTCTCTCTTCCTCCCCCAGGAGATGTGGACAAAGCCGTGACAGAGCTGATCATCAATTTTGATGTGAACCCCGAAGAGGAGAGCCCGTATGAAGCGTTGTACAACGCCACCTCCTGCCACTCCCTGGACAGCCTGGCCAGCGGGAGATCCTCCGACCGGGACTCTGGGAACAAGGAGGCTGAACCCAGCGGCCCCAAAGCAGCTGCAGTCAGGCCTGTATGTAGCTGTGTGTGCTCAGCCCTGCTCACCCCAGGGGCACAGGGGGACCCACCTCCAGTGTCAGGTTTTGCAGCAGGCTGCCAATCCCTCAGCTTGAGGAAATCTTTAAACCTTTCCCTGACGCTGATTAAAGCAGACAGGTACCTCTCCTTCTTCCCTGGCCTGTTCACAGGGAATAACTGCACGTATTGCCTACAAGCAGCTGCATCTTTGTGTATTACTTGCACAGATCTGAAGAGGGTACTCCAGGCTTTACAAGGCAACACAAAGCTCCTGGAACTGTCCCCAGAGAAGTCTTCCTCACCTTCTGTCAGCTGCATCTGCTGCCCTGTTAGCAATCCATGGGAAGGCTGCTGTGGGGCAGATGGGACATGGGCCCTGCAGTGCTGGGTCAGCTTCAGGGTCTGTGTTCTGATTGGTTTTCCAAAGCCTGCTCCATGGAGGCATTTTTGGACAAGAGGCAGAGCAGCAATGAACACTTTAACTGCTGGGGGCACAGTAGCCATGGTTTCCCTCTCTGCAAAGAGGGGCAGCCTTTGGCCTGTGCTGAGAACAAATAGAGTAGAAATGGGACAAAAGCTTTAGCAGATGGACATTTCAGCCAGGTCTCACTCAGGTGAGCAGTACCAGATGCACTGTCCTGTTACTGACTAAATCTGGTCATTGTCTTGTACTAACAGTGTCTGGTGTGAAATAAGTTCAGCTCTGTTACAGATAAAGGAGAGGCTGAACTGCAGTGAGGAGGGAGCAGGAAGAGGGATGTGCTCCAGGAGCTCGCTGGAGTTTCTCCCCAAGCTTGCTGTTGGAGCAGTGCAGCTCTGCTGCTTCCCTTTGCCATTAGATGGAGCTGTGGCTGAGCAGGAGTTGGCCTGGGGAAATGCTCTGCATCGGACCGGGCAGCAGCTCCAGCTGCCCACTGGCAATCCCTGGATGTTGGAGGACTTTGGTGCAGCACTGTCTCTTGATCTCTAGTTTTCCACTATAAGAGCTGCCTCTGGCATCACTTATTCCTGTTACTGTTTCACTAAGATACAAGCCATGAGTCTTCCTTTTCTCCCCATCAGCTCATTCCTGACTCCTTTGTGCAGTGCTGTGGAGAGTAGTCTGGGTGTGGAGTGAGACCTGTGTGAACAGGAAGAGCTCTGCCCACATCAGTGTCTGCAGGAGAGGTGGAGGAGAGGCAGCAGCCATTGCCCAGCTCTGTGCTGTCAGGGCTGAACTGCTCCTCCATCCAGATTAATGTGGGGAGGTCCTTGCTGCATCCACAGCAGTGGGGACTTAGGGCTGTTGGGAGCAGAAGGGCCCAGCTGTACCAGCACAGCTGACAGTGCTTGTCTTACCCACAGAGAGAACGTCCCCCACCGCCAGCCAAGCCCCCGCCCGACGAAGAGGAGGAGCAGCATGTGGAGAAGAAGATAGGTCACAGTGCTCCCTCTGAGGTATGTGGGGCTTGATCTGGGGTGTTTTATGGGAGAGTGGTTCAAAGACCAGTTTTAATAATTTGGGAGGAGCCAAGGATGCTGTTACCTCCTGTGCTAGTTGGGCTGTGAATGTGAAACATTCCTTCACTCAGCATTGCTGCTGTCCTTGCCATGGGAACTTCCTTTGTCCGCTTCTTCCAGGGCACCTCAGTGTTGACCTTCAGCCTTACTTTCCTATTCTTGGCTGAGAATTCCCTTAGGAAGAGGCTTTTCTGAATCACATTGTGATGTGGACCATTGCCACTTGTACAGATCCCACCACGTGCATCTTCACTTGGACCGAAATGCAGACACACCAAGAGTTCCTGCTTCCTCTGAGCTCCCAGCTGTGGAGGAGCTGCGTGGGCTTGTGGGTCCCACTGACATGAGCAGGGAGCAGGGGCTTGAATTCAGCTGAGGATCTGACCGAGCACATCTGAAAGCTGCCTTCTGCATCTGAGCTGCTTTCTGATGGAACTAAAGCTCTCACGTTCCATATTGTTGCTCCTGGGCTTCCTATTGCTCATCCTTATTCACCTGCCTGTGAACCTCAAATACGAGGGCTCTCCAGGAAACACGGCTGTGGGAAACCACAAATGTGTCTTGGCAACTTCTGCTGACACCCAGGAAAACCTTCAAAGCAAAGCCAAATCTGTGGATTTTCACTCTTTCCCAAGGGCAGTGGGTTGTGTGTGAAACCCATGGAGTGTGTACCACCTCTGCTGTCGGAGCAGGCTCTGGTTCAACACATGCCTTCTTTGAATGTGCTGATCTGCTGCAGTTCTGCAAAGCATAAATGGGATCTGTTGTCTGGAGTGTGTCAAATGCCCACGAGACACGAGTGAACATGGTCTGCTGTCATACAACTGACTTCAGAGAGAGTAAAGCTCTGAGCTGTGCATAAACAGGGGAAGTGGGCTGTGACATTGTGGACTGATCCCTGCACTGCTGTTCGAATGCAGAGTGTGATAACTGGTCCTGTGCCTGGCTCTGGCAGAGGAGAGCTGGGCAGCAGGTCATGGCATAATTGGGAAGCAGAACTTGTTTATGACAAGAAACACGAGGGAGGCAAACGTGCCCTGACTGCTCCTGCTAGAGGTATCTTGCCATGTTTAATTATCAAACACCTGCTGTGTTGTCCTGCCATTAATGGCTTTGGAAGCATGATCCATTAAAGGGAATCTTGCTGGCAAATGGCAGTGACTCACTGGGGAGATCTTGATTTGTGACCAACTTCGGTGATAGAACTTACGGGCAGTGTGTGGCTGCCTGGAAACGACCTTCTGGATGTACTGATGAGGTAGTTTGGGGCTGATCCTTTTCCTTTGATTGCTTCTCCTGGCCTGCTCTGCTTTTCTCTGCTTTCTTGCCTATCTTTTATCACCTCAGTGCATGTTCTCTCTGGGTCAGGCAGGCGTGAACAGGAATATGCTTTGGAGTGCTGTAAACATCTCGCTGCAGCATCCCAATGTGCCATCCTCCAGCCCTGCTCTCCTGTTGGAGCCAGGACAGTTAGTCATTGAATATTCTGGAGTTGGGCCAAACTCTAGTTTCCAAAGTAGTCTTTTTATTCCTTGCCAAGCTGGAGCTATCAGTTAAAACAGATGAGTGTAAACAAACTTTTCACTTTCATCATGGAAAAATGTTGGTACAAACAGGCAAAGGAGCTGATTGTGTGGAGGTGCTTGAGTGGTGCCTTTCACTATCTCCAGAAACCTTCTGGGTTTGGAGTTGAGTGAGAGCCTACATTGTCAAATTAAACTCGGGTTCCAGCTGTTTACTGCTCGTCTCCGGAAGGGAAGTGCAGATCAAGGACAAGGCGCCACGGTGGTTCCAGCAGTTTGGTCTGCAGCTCTGGGAGGGAGGAGAGAGGAAGAGATGAGTTACCCTTTAGAAAGTCTTTCAAAGTCCTCTGCTGTGGATTAAGCACATCTTAAAGAGTATCCTTATTATTCACCCACAGCATCTTATTTTTGGGCTTTGCTAGAAGTGAACATTTGTATGTTGAAACAACGTCTGAGGAACTGGAAGCTGAATTGGAAGAAAGCTTTATTTGGTTTTGCTGCTCCTGGTCTCAGAGCAAGCACAGTTCTCCAGCAATGGTCTTCATTTTGAGTGAATTTGAACTTGAAACTCTATTTTAAGGCTTGGAAGGATGAGAGGTGGAGAAAATCAAGTGTAACCAGGCCCATGGATACCAGCACAAAAGTTCACAAAGCAGAAGTTGGGAACTATGTGCTGCTGGGGAGCTCCTGCCTTCAGTGCATTTAAAGAGGACAGCACAGGAATCATCATCCACTGGAGTGTCAGGAGAGCACCAGAGCCTGGCAGAAGGTCCAGGCTGCTGCTGTGCTGACAGGCTGCTGCTGGGCAGGATTTTTCCAAGATCACGGGTGAGAACCTGTTACCTGCTGTTCTGGTCTGATGGTTTTGTGCCACCATCTGGTCAGAATTTTTTCCCTAATTTGCTCATTACAAGCTCCTTCACCTGGAAGGGAGCAGGTCTGCCTGGCAGCTCCAGCTCAGAGCAGGTACAATAAATACTTCCCGTGCCGGACAAAGCTCGTTTCCTCCTATTGAGAAAGTTGCTTTAAAAGCCAGCTGGGCTCGTGCAGAACAGCACATGGATGTTGGAATCCTGTCTGTGCTGCTGACTCCTGGGTGTCTCTCCAAGACTCCCTAAGCTTCCAGAGCTCCTGGCTGGGTTGCAGTCAGGTAGGTACCGATTTGCCCTTGGAGCAGCTCTGGTGCTTTCACTTTGGGGCAGAGGAGGAGGTGGTGTGTGGTCTGCTGGTGAGGCAGTGGGAGGTCCAGGAGTCTGAGCAGTAGGAGCCCTCTCTGGGGGTGTGTTTTGTTCAGACCTGTTCTTCCCTGTCCTGGCAGCAGGTAGAGATCATTTGCTTTCTGGCTTTGGGTTGGCTGTAGTTACACATGGGATCACAAAATGGTTTGGGTTGGAAGGGACCTTAAAGACCATACAGTTCCAACCCCTTGCCATAGGCAGGGACACCTTCCACTAGACCAGGTTGCTCTAAGCCTCATCCAATCTGGCCTTGAACACCTCCAGGGATGGGGCAGCCACAACTTCCTATCACCCCATGCCTCTCCCCAGCTCTCTTGGAGCCTCTTTAGGCCCTGTTGCCAGGGCTCATTACCAGGTCATGTTGAGCTCCTGGGGCAGGGTTGCATCAGTCTGCCAGGATCTGACCAGGAGATGGTGCTGAAAGGCAGCCGACTGTGCTGGCAGGGTGCCCTGAAGGCCAGTTTAGCCCCATCAGCACTGGGATGGCACCCAGGGACATCCAGGGCCTGTCATCCTTGGCATTGGTGTAGGCCAACATATGAGTCTGCAGCAAGACTTGTCTGGATCCTGTGCCAAAACCTCGTCCCTGCACATGGATGGTAGCTTTCCAGAACAGCCTGGGGAGGGTCTGCCAGGGTTCCAAACCAGCTCTAACTAGAGGCTTTGGGGGATTTAAATAAGTACAGTCACTGCTGCACATCCTGGAGTTAAACTGAATTTATGCAGTGCTGCCTGATGCCTGTCCATCCTGAGGTCAGAAATGCTGGATCTGAGAAGGTAGCAGGTATTTGGGCTTTTGTTCTTTTCAGCCCTGTCCTAATAGGGCCAGCAGCTAAATAGTGAATGACAATGCAAATTCCAATAGCAACAACCAGTCTGAGTTGGGATGAACAGGAATAACGGTCTCAGCTCTTTTCCCCCTCCAGGCTGTCTGCAGCTCTTGCACAGTGAGTCAGTTGGTCAGTGTTGGAAAGTTATCAGCATCCCAAGATACTAAAAATTAAAGGGGGTTTGGGTGTTTGTTCACTGAGGGGGTTAAAAAAAAAAAAGGGGAGGAGTATTAGATTTTGGCTCACATTCTGCAGCAAAGGTGTTCCCTCTGCTAATTCCTTGCTTAACCCATGGCATAGAGGCTGTGGGCTTTATGCCAGGACAAAGCATTGCTTTGCAGAGCTCCACATTGTGCTGTTCTTCATTAGGCCTCTGCTGCCTGGGGGAAGAGCAGGGGAAGTGGAGCTGAGGAAGAGGAACACCCGTACGAGCTGTTGCTTACAGCAGAAACTAAGAAACCGGTTGCAGTGGACAGGAAAACAAAAGGTGAGTGACCATCCAAAGAACAGAGCACTTCAAGCACTTCCGTGCACTTCAGGAAAATACAGAGGGCAGAGGGCAACTGGAACAATGAAAGTCTGTGCTGGGTGGGGGCTGGAGGGTGATTGTTGTGTTTCCTGGTAATCCTCCCTCTGGTACAGGAGAGCTCTGAGCGTTCCTGTACAGAGTGTACGAGGAGGAAGGGCAGCTGTGCTGTGGGATAGCTGAGAGATTCTGAGGACCTGCTCTGTGAACTCAGAAATACCCAAATCTTGTGCTCAGCTAAGCAAATGCAGAGGGTGGGAGGCTGGAGGCTGTTCCAGGGGAGATGAGCAACACGAGCATTCCAGTGAGCCGTGTTCTGCATCCAGCTGGCGCTGCAGGTTTCTGCTATCCTGCTGTAAAATCAACATCCTGCTCTGTGTTAAAGCTAATTTGAGATGGAAACTAAGAGAGGAGGAAAACAAAAGTGTGTACAGCAAGAACTAGAACTGATACAGATCCGTGGGGTAGCCAGGTATATATTGAACCAGTCTCTCCTCCCCCAGAGGGAATTCTGTGCTTTACGAAGGATCTGGGAACACCTTGTCTCTTGTATTTAGCTGTTGTTGGCTTTTTGGCTTTCTTGCAACCACAACAAAAAAGATTTGTTTAGAGAGAAAAGATTTCCAGCTTTATTCAAAAGTCTTGAGCAGGAATTTGGAAGGATTTAATTTGGACTCTCACACTGGAACCCTTCTCATTCTGAGGATGGACAAGGAATGCCTCACTGAGTGCCCTGTCAGACCTGCAGGTGTTTTTCCTCCTTGCAGCACGTTAACTCTCGTTGCTCAAGTCCTGCTGCTCTCCTTACTGGCCCAGGGTGGCACAAGAGGTCATTGAGTTCCCACCAGCACTTGCCAAAGTCCCCTCGCTGCCAGAGGCAAAGTCTGGGAGCTTTTCAGGTTGATGCTTTGCAGTCTGGGCCAGGAACAGACCCTGGGTGACAGCCACTGAGCCAGAGCTTTCAGGCTCTCGTCAGCAGGCAGCTATTGCTGGTTATTCAAGCACGAGCTGTTCCAACTGCTCCACTCCTTTCTCTGGCTGCTGTGTCCAGTCTTGATTAGTGTGAGAGGAGGTGTGTCCTAATTATGTGTCAGATTAAAGTGAAACCTCAGAGTAATGCAGCTGTATGTTCTTGATGCAAAACTCTTAACCTGAACACCTGAAGACATCATGAGAGGTTGCAGGAAGATCTTTAGCCTTGTACATATCCAGAGCAGAGTCCTGTCTTTTAATCTGCATCTGGAAGGATAAAAACTGTGACTTCAGGGTTTGCACTCCATGGAAAGTGTTGCTGTGTTTGTAACAAGTGTGAAGCCCTTCCCACTGTTGTAGTGGGAGAAATCCAAGGATGCAGTTGAGTTTTCTCATCTTCCAGGGCTTGCCTGCTCTTTAAATGCTGTCAGTGGCTGATGGAGGGGAGAAGATGCATTTAGGGAGTAGCAGAGTCATTTTGGCAAAGAGTTAAACAAGGGCTGAGGGAGGAGGGACTGAAGCCTTCATTGGGGTGTTGGAGAATTTTTCCACCTCTGGATCAGAAGGGTCCTGGAGCATCAAAGGCAGCAGCTCCATCCCAAGACATGGAACAGGCTAAAGATGGCTTTGAACTGCTTCTTGGCCCTTGATCTGAGGGTCTGGGCTTCTGGATGAGTTCTGGAGCAGTCTTTGGTCAGGAGATGAGGAGTTGGGTTCTTGTGGCTGTTGGAAGGGCGTTTCAGGGCAGCGGAAACGCTGAATTTCAGGCACGCGGGTTTAATGGTGCCTTTCATCTGTGATAGCTGCCTTTGTTCCTCTGGCTGCCAGTTGTCCTGTGTCCAGCCAGCAGATGAATGTGGCATTATCCACTGGCTTTGGTGGCCTTTGTGTGTGTTAGAGCAGCTTGCTATCACATGCTGGGAGAAGTTGGTCTCATGTTTTGGGCAGAGTATCAGAAGTGGTTTAAGCCAAATACTCTCCCTTTCCCTTTGCTGTGTGGTCACAAATGTGAAGTCAGAGCACTCAGACCTTGTAACAGGGCATGAAAATAAGTCAAGAGTGGGAGACTGTTGGTACAGTGACCAGAAGGAGACCTCTTAACTCCTGCTGCCTCAAAAGAGGAGATGTGATGGAAGGTGAATGTGGAAAAGATCTTTGAGTTCTGATGTGTCTGGCTTCTCAGGAATCACCCCCAGGTGCTGTCAGCAGTGACCAGCTGCAGGTAGGACTGACTTGGTGCCTTCTGATAGTTATTACAGACTGATGCTTGTTGAGGTTGTTCTGTGCTGCTTCCGTAGGACAGTGTCTCATTACTTTTTCTGAAGAGGGGAGGGAGTGCACAAGAGCACAAGTTCGGGTGGATAAACTCTGTCTGGAATGACTGAGCTTGGTGAGACTAACACAGGAGTGTGCCATCCTCAGCTGGGTTCCACAGGCACTACAGGCTGTGCAATGAGCCCGTGGTTCACTTCTGCAGGTGAGGTTATTTTTGCCAGCTTCCTCCTCGGGCCTTCTGTGCCATGGGAAAGAGATTTGCCTGCTCCTCACTTGACAAATTCTGGCCTGATGTAGCATGGAAAGCCTTTTCCATGTGCAAGTCAGAGGCTGCTGTATGCCCTTTCTGGTTTTAAGGTTGGGGAGCTTGAGCAAACAGCAGCTGCAGTAACAGCTTCATTCTCCTAATCCAGGGGCATGAGACAAATCCTGCTGTTGATATATAGGGAAAGAAATCCAGTCGAGGCAGGGTGGTTGCAGCTTAGTGTGGAGTGTTTAGGGAAGTGCTTCGTATCTGGAGTCCTCAGGCTGCTGGCAGGGAAGCTCTTAATTAAATCCTCCCAGGGAAGCAGACAGTCTGTACCCAGGAATAGGCTCGTGATCCCAGGAAGGGTTGGAAGCAGCCTCTTATGTGGGTGAGACCTGCAGCAGGCTGTGGCCAAAGCAGTCAGGATCAGTCAGATCATCTGTGCTGGGGTGTAAAATCAACAAAGAGAGTTGGGCAGAAGTCCCTGTAGTAGTTAAAAGGTGTAACTGGAGGAGAATGACCCTTCCAGATCCCTTAAAATGTGAGGCCTGAAGAGCCCTCAGTGTTCCTGCTGTGTGCATCTCAGTGATAAAAAGGAGTGAGATGACTCTTTTCTTTCTGCATTAGTTGTTATGTCTGCAGCTTTCAGGACAGGCTCTGAAATGTGTCCTGCAAGATGTTCCTCACATCTTCTGAGCAAGTGCTGTTGCCCTCACTCCGTCCATTCGTTCCCTGGCAGCTGCCCTGAATTTTGGAGTCCCTCCTCGGCTTGCAGATGAGTGGGTGGCTGTGATTGCTGTCCAACAGGAGCCCTTTGTGAGGCACTGGAGCTGGATTTGGAGCATTTTGTTCTGGCTGGACTCAAGTGTTCCAGCACGTGGCACAAACTTTTGCCAGCCCTCCTCTGCCTTCTGCAGAAATGTCAGTAAAGGTTAAACTGGGGCATGGAAGAAATAGTTTCTAAGGAAGGGAAGAGGTTTGGAAGAAAGACTGCAAAAGCTTTCTCCTCCCCACAGGTTTAGGTGAGTGTCCCTTCACTGCTGTCCTGCTCACCAGTCAGTGGCTTTGCATTAGTACCACTCTGGCCAATGACTGAAGCACATCTGATCTCCTCTGAGGTTTCTCCTCTTGAGGTTTCTCTCCAGCATTGCAGCATCAGAGCTTTATGCAAAGTAACTGAGTCCAGTCTGGCCTTGCTTTCTGGGGTGCTGCTGCTGACCCCCCCTCCAGCCAGTGCTGGGACCTGCCTCTCCCTTGGCGGCTCCAGTCACAGAACTGGTGGTTTAATGTGCCCGTGCGAGAGAGTCAACAACTACTTCACTGTCCTGGAATCTCTAACTCACAGGATCCAGGATGAGATAATCCCTCACATCACTAGATCCCAGGGAGCAGTGAGGGCTGTGGTGCTGCCCTGGCTGGGCTCTGGCTGCTCCCGGCCCTCCCGTGCCTGTGTGAGGGACATCGGGCACAGGGTGCCTGGGACCCCCACACGAAGGCAAAGGACTAATTCAGCCCTTTCCTGCCCATTTCTGGTGTGAGGGCAGACCACAAAACCCGATGGGTGTTGGTGTTTGAAAATCCCCTGCTCAGGCTTGGTGCTGGAAAGGTGCTGGGGGAAGGAGTTGGGCTCACTGCTGCTGCTGCTGACAGGCTGCTTTTATTTAAAGTAGAATTCATTATTTTGCTCACAGAAAGGAGAGTTCCTTTGCCTTGGCTTCCCGGAGCTGCTGTCTGCAAGGCAAACAATTTCCTCTTCACATCCAAACATCCTCCTTGTGTTTCAGAGCCTCATTATTGGGGTGCTTTGCTTATTGTTCCTTTCCAGCATGGATTTTTGGTCCTCGGACTGAAGAGGTTCTTCAGCACTAAATGGAAGTGGTTAAAATTCGCAAGCAATGCTGGGAGGGCAAAGGAATCCTGGGAAACCAAAGTTAGACTTGTTGACTTGCTTTTGCAGTTGAAACACTTGCTGAGCTGTGACAGGTGAGTACAGGTGTGTGTGCACACGCTTGGCACTGGGTATCAGTCAATTATTCATGGTTTATGCAGGACCCTGGTACCTGATATTAGGGCTGCTGGGGCAGGAGTAGCACGGAACCAGTGTCACGTTTCTGGGGCAGCTGGTGCTCTGCCAGCTCCAACCATTCTGTGCTCAGTGGTTCATTGCAAGAGAGACCTTTTGCTCAAGTTTTTTTTATTGCATAAACTGTTTATTTCTCTCCCCTGAGCAGGGAGGAGAGGTTAAACTCAGAAACCACTAGGGAGGAAGGCAGTGGGTTTTTTTGGGAGTGGATTTTGGAACTCGCAGGTCAATTACAGTCCAGGCACTTTCCCACCCTGCAGCCCGTGCCAAGAGCGCGGCTCCAAATAACGCTTTGGCCTTTATGGAGACGGATCAGATGTTCCAGGAGCCTCCGTCCCTGCTGCTCCCACCTCACTTGCTCTCTCTACAGGATATAGTTAGCACTTCTCTTGGCCTTATATAGCAAGGCCTGATAGTTAGTGTTAACAGGAATAAAACAACACGGAGAGCTGCCAGATTGCGTAAATCGGGCCAGTGTTTGGAATTTCATAAATGCCATGACTTTGGGTACAGGCTGAGCACGCGGAACAATACGGAACTGTTCTCTCTTTATCTCTCCCTCCCTCGCTGAGGGAGGGCAGGGAAAGAGCTGGAATTTTGCTGCTTCTTCCATGTTTTTAATTTCCCCCTCCTCTCCGTTTCCATTCCCTCGAAGACCACAGGAGGAGCAGCGGTGGCCGCAGCCAGGACCCTGCTGACAGCCAGGACATCCAGGTGCCAGAGCAGTTTTCAGGGTTGCTTCATGGTTCTTCTCCGATCTGTGAGATAAGTGAGGACCCTTTCAGGCTCGTTTCCTCTGCAGAGAAGGGGGGCACAGAAGCTACAAGCCAGCCTGCTGCTATGCAGCTGGAGGATGCTGACTTACCTGGCTCAGGATCGGTGCGGAGCAGCTCTCCAGAGCGGGAGCAGGCGGTGGTTTACGCCACGGTGCAGCACACGCACGTCAGCCGGGCGGATCCCGCGGCCGTAGTCACGCCCCACGTGCCGCAGCACCCCGGCGGTGCTGAGGAAGAGGGGGACAGAGCTGTGGGCAGGGCCCACCCGGGCAGCAAGCCCAAAGCCGAGCTCAAACTCAGCCGCAGCTTGTCCAAGTCGGACTCTGACCTGCTGACCTGCTCCCCGACAGAGGACGATGCCATGGGGAGCCGCAGTGAATCGCTCTCCAACTGCAGCACTGGGAAGAAGCGGCTGGAGAAGTCCCCGTCCTTTGCTTCGGAGTGGGATGAGGTAAGGCTGAGCTTGCTTGAGAGCCTCTGTGCCTCCTCTCTGCCACACTGCCCTGGGGGTGTCCCGGGTGGGTTCTGTTGCTTTCGCTAACTCTCACATGGCATTAACAGACACATGCTCAGGTGGGAGTCTGTAAGGTGTCAAGTGCCAAAAGATAGAGTTCGTTGGAGTGGGGGAGAAATGGAATTGCAAGAACTGAGGGGCTTTTCAAACTGTCAAAAGTTTTTTGCTCAAATGCGGGGCTTGATTTCTTTGGAGCAAGACGTTCCCAAAATGAAGGAGACTTTGTAACAGTGCCCTTTACCAACCTTTATCCTGACCTCCTCCTTCCAGTTCTTCTCTGTGGACTCTCCCAGCACCTGGAGATGTTGTTGCTGGTTCTGCTGCTGGGGGGGTGAGAAGTGTCCGGGGTTCATGGAGATGGAAGGAAGAGAGTACTTAGGTTGGTTTGTGTATTGAGTAGCTCCCACTTTCCTCCTCACACACTTATTTCAGCGGCTGGTTAGCAGTCACTTTATCATCATATCGGACGCCCGCGGATAGTTAAATATTTCATGCTCCAAAAGTTGACCCTGGAGAGCCAGTGGGGTGAGATTAAGTGTCCCTCTGAAATTCAGCACTGCAGCATTACTGATACATTCTTTGGGGATGATTCTGTGCTGGGAGAGCAGCGGCTGCAGAAGTGATAAGCTGGGATGAACTCCTCTTTGTACTCTGAAGGGAACTAACCCCCCCCCCCCCCCGGCGTGGTGCTGGGGGTGTGGAGCCGCGTGTGCTGGGCGTGGAGACCTGTGGGAGGGTTGTGCCCCTGCTCCCCTCTCTGCACAGGCTGTTGCTCAGCTGCCTCTCCGACCCTGACTTGGAGAGAAGATCACCTTCTGTGGGAGAGGGGGGTATTCAGAGATGCTAAAAGCAATGTGGGAATTTGTCCTCAGTATGAGCCCATCCCTCAGTCCATTCTCTCCCTCCCCCTCACTCCCTGCTGGGTCTCAGGGTTGCCAAAAAGATGTTTTCCTCTGCAGCTGCTTGGGCTGGAGAGGCTTCACTGTTAATTGCCCGGGTCAGTTGTACCACAGAGTAGGGAAAGAGTGCAGCAGAAGGTTTTGGAAGGACTGGATAATTCCCCGTGCTTTTATCTGAGCTGTTTGCAGCAGACACTGAAAGGGCAGAAGAAGCCTCTGACGGCAGTGCTGCACAACTGCAGTGGTAGCAGAGGTCAAGTGTTGGGCTGCCTGCCCCTGCCTCTGCTTCCTCTGCTCAGATGAACCCTTGGAGCTGCTTCCTCCTGCTTGTAAACAACCCCCTCATTTCCGAGGCAGCCAGACAAAATCTGCTTTTGCTTCCCCTTATGTTTAGGTGAGAAAATCAGAGAAAGAATGTGAAAAATTCACATCTGTCTGCAATGGGGCAGGTCTCACTTTAAAAAAAAAAAAAAGTACTATTAAAACCTGATGGTTTTGTCTTCCTGATTTCTGGCATAATGGAAACATTTTGTGGAATTGCTGTAGTCTGGCAGCAGCATCCTGTGGCCAGAGCACTAGTTTGCCAGGGGGAGTCACAGAGCAGCACCTGTGGGAATGGCTGGGGGTTTGCAGGATTTGTATGTGCAGGAAGGGGTTGGTCTAGCTGGTCATAATGGCAACAGTGAGATTTAAACACAAATGCAATGTTGTCATTGGGAGTTGAATTAGTTTCCTGGATGGGATAATGCAGCTGGTCGGAATTGGATGCAACTTGCAACCTCTGAATTTACCAGGCCAACATAAACCCTTTTGAGCCACCTCTGTTAGGGATCGTTTGGCTTTTCCTCTGTGTTTAGGGGAAACAATGGCATATTTATATTATTCTCTTAATCTTAATAGTCTTTATGCAGGTGACTATGGAGGGGAGTGATCTCTGTGCAGTTCCCAGCTGTAACCAGCAAGCCAAGGGCTCTGCCTGCCGGCCTGGCCAGCAGTACGTGTGCAGGGAGGGATCTGTGGTGTCCCTGGCAGATGGGATCCATGGCAGAGGCTGAGCTGGCACTGCCCTGGGCCGTGGTGCCTGTGCTCAGCCACCCTGATGGGGACAGCAGAAAATCTGCTGCTTGGAGGCGAAGGGTCACGTCCCTGCCCTGGCTGAGCACTGCCAATGCCCTTTGTTGGAAGTGGAAGGTGGTGCTGGCTTTGCCAAAAGGGTGGGATGGGGAAGGAGTGATTCACTTGGCAAAGCTCGTTCCTGTTCCCAGTTGCAGCTCCCCTACTCCAAGGACTGGCCTGGAGTGCTGCTCTGTGCTGCTCAGGAGCCAGTTCAGCCATGTCCTGTCACCTCCTGTCCCTGCCCCTTCCTGGGAGTCCCTGTGGTGGGAGCTCTGTGCGAGCCAGGCACTGAAGCTCTCTCATCACACAGCCATGCCTTTCCCAGGAGAAAATGCTCTGTCCCTGCTGGAGTGGGAAGCAGAGTGGGGGCAAGGAGGCATGTGAGGGGTAGAGCTCACAGTCAGCATAAATACATGAATCCTTCCAAACCTGGCTGAGGGCTGAAGTGATAGATTTGGGTTTTGTCATTGGCTCATGAATATTGAGCGGGTGGGGATGATCTTGTCAGCTCACAATAACCTGTGTTTGCACCCCTGGGGTGGGAGGCCTCTGGCACCTGGCTCCACTCCAGCCCCACTTCCAGAGTGGATTAACCTGCATCTGCTCTGCCTTCCTCCTCTGCAGAGCAGCTCCAGCCCTGCACATCTGCCTGGCTCATGCCCCCGGCTCCCAGCAGAGATCTCTGCAGTCAGGCCTGGGGCTGCTCTTCTGCCTTGTAGGTGTTGGTAAGAAAAACGATCTGTTAAGAGATCAGGGCAAGGAAAGAGGCAGGCTGCTGGGAATTAGCCTCAGACCTGGCTCCCTACATCCCTTAATCCTCCACTTCCAGCTGCCTATCAAGTAAGTGGCTCCGATGCTGAATTTTTAATGATCGTGGCACTCAGAGGTTCCAGCATCAACCTCACAAAATGAGGTGGTTCTGTGTTCTGACTTCAGCTCTTCTAGGAAGAGATTAAACCTCCTCCAAAAGTAATTTAGGGAACTGAATAAAACAGGCATGTTACTTTAGCTTTTTTTAGAAAACAGGAGGTGCACAGTCCACCACTTTGATGCATTTTTTTCCCCCAAGTGAATTAGTTGAATAACTAATGAATATTCTGTAGCTATTTATGGCGCTGGACATTCATCTCTCATGACTAACTGCAGTGGTGCTCTATGTCTCCTGTGAGAAGAATGCTTTCCATCTGCAATAACCATGGATGTGGTGTTTCACTGATTCCTGACCTGTTTTGGGGGTCTTAATGTCCCCTAAGGGTGGATGCCAGGAGCAGATGGCACTGCTGTGGGTGCCTTTAAACCTTGTCAGGACTGTTGGGTGTGCAGTACTCAGTGGAATCAGTGCCTTAATTACAGGCTTACAGTGGAGGATTAACAACATTTGCATCAAAAGGTGAAACTTTCAGAAAGCTCTTGATGCAAAACCTGCCACTGCCTTAAAACACCCAGGAGCTGAAATTCCAAGCTGCCAGCCAGCACTGTTGAAAGAAAATGCAAATATCTCCCTTGTTCCTCAGGCAGAGCTGCTGGTTCTGTGCCTGATGAAGTTGCATCCTGAGAGCTCAGGGGTTTGTGTTCTGAGCTCCTGCCACTCACCTGCCCGGAGGGGCTCCTGTCACACCCCTCAGCACCCCTGGCTCGCCCTGCATGCTCCGAGGACATCCCTGCCCTGCCGTGGGGGCACGAGGCTCAGTCCTCACTTCCCAGCAGCCTCTCCTCCCAAAATGTTTCATTTATTCTCTTGGTTCAAATGTTAAAGTCTCAGCACTTGGCTTGCCCCGGGTGTGGCTGGTGGGGCCGGGCAGGGCCCATTTCGGAGCACGGTGGCTTCATCTGTCCCTGGTGTCCCCTGCCCTGAGCTGGCCCTTGTCCTCTGCTCGCCTTCCAGTTTTCCCTTTGCCTGAAGGGGTTTATAATTCATTTTTGTCTAGGGAGAAGCAGTAACAGGGTCAGTATTTTTGGTCTGATTTCTGCTAAAAAGGCAAGGTCATCAGGATCTTAATCACCTTAATTATTGGGCTGATTATTCTATTATCTCTGGATCCCAACGTTTCCTCTTGTTTTTCCTGTGCTAAGTTCAGGAATTCTTACATCATTCCTCATGTCCAATCTCTTCTCTTTGCCCCCAGTGGTGAGATTTCCTCCATCCTGATGAACTTTTTGAAGTGAAAGCTTTTGTGTTGCCACCATTTTTATATCTGCTGCAGAGGGGCAGCCTGTGGAACTAAGCCAATCCAAACCAATATAAGACAAATTAATGGTTTTACAGGTTGGTGTGCTGTTCTGAAAGGCAAATGCATAAACCAGGCTTTTCTCCTGTGTTTAGCAGCAAGGGTAAGACACAATAGGGATGATATTTGCCAGCTCTGAGTGTTGTCTCAGTCCATCAGAAGCACATTGGTGACTCTCCCTGGGGCAGGTCTGACAGGGCAGTGAGACATGGCAGGTTATTGCTACCTGGTGGGGGGAGCCTCCCATCCACCCTCAGAAGGGTTGTGAAAGTGGCCTCAGACAGAGGCAAATGCTTCCTGACATCCTCTTCCTCGTGGGTCCCCCCCTCAGGCTGCACATGGAGCTCTGTCAGCAGGAATAGTTCAGCAGCTCCATCCACCTCTGGGGGTGCTTCTGGTACCTCCTCAAGTGAATGAACTTGGTATTTGTGAATCAGGAGCTTTTGATTCTTCTGTGTGAGCGATGGAGCTCTGCCGGATGTTTTGGTTATGTAACAACCTCGTGGTCGTTTTGGGGACGGTTTTGTTTTTTGAGAACAGAAATGTCCGGCTGCAGTGCCCTTACTAAATCCAGTCCTTCATTATGTTCTCTTCCGCTTTACAGTGCATCTTCCAGCACTTCAGAAGCTTTTCTTTTCAAAGTCCTCACAGCTCTCTCATCAGCCTGTGAGTGACTTCCCTGTGCTGCTTCGTGTCCCGCAGGCTGGAGCCAGCCCTGCCCCAGGAGCATAACGTTGGTTTGGAGTTTGTGTTGGGAGGAGGGAATACAGACAGTGAATTGGTTCAGTATTCTTCAGGGGGTTCTGCCTTTTTTATTGTAGCTGTTGTCCAGCCATTTCCCTGCTGTGGGCAGATGTGTTGCTGCATTTGACCATTTTCTTGTCCTGTCAATGTTGGATTTTACTGGGTGTTTGTCAAAACAACACTGATATTTGGAGGGCTCTGAAAGTGCAGATTCCCCACACACTGTTGTGAAATTGAAGTTTATGCTGTAAGTTCCTTTTGGTATGTGTTTAGATTTGTAACTTTGGAATTTGTACTAAAACACAGGCTGGAGAGAGTGGTATGAAGCAACAAGGCCTGGTCCTGATCCAAATGAGTTTCTCAGAGACCATATTAAGCCTGAAATTGTGTTTGCCTTTATCACAGTTGCAGAATGATTTAAATAAATCCCAAACTGAGCAAGTCCTCATGCTGTGTGCAAGGCACATGCTGCCGGGGAGGATGGGACACAGAACACTGGAGTTCAAGTGCTGAAATGTGCCACGAACAACTGACTGTGTAGTTTAACTTTGAATTAATAGATTGAGCATTATGTTTTCCAGGCCTTTGGTGTTTGTTATGCTGAGTTCATACAGGCTGGTGTCTCTTGGAGACACAGAATATATTGAACGATGAAATACGAGCCACGTGCTCCATGGGATGGTGATGGGAGAACATAAGCTGAAAGATTGTAAACTGAACCAGAAGTGGTTTATGGGCTGTCACCAACCTACAAATGAGACTCATGGCTCAGATCCAAATTTTCCAGGACTGTACTTGCACTGAGGAGTCAGCAGGTATTGTCCCAGACCCTTCTCCTGCTCCATCCCTTTCAGAGTTTCTGGTGGATGCTGTGATCCAGCCATCCCTCTGCTCCAGGATGTATCCCAGCAGGGGCTGAGCAGCCTCGCTTCCTCCAGGGATTCAGTATCAGTCAGTGATGTACTTGGGGTTTGCTGTGGTATTGGTGCAGAATGGAAATGTTAGTGGTTCTGGGCTGCCCCAGCATTGCCCATCGACCTCACATACCCCTAGTTCTCCCCTGGGTTTCAGAGGTGATCCCCTGGGCTGTGATGGGGCTGGTCAAGTTGTCACTGGGGGTTTTGTTGTGCTCAGGGGGGTTTGAAACTGTAGAAGCAGCTATAGTTGGGGGTTTGGTTTTTTATAATTTGAAACCAAATCTGCCCCATCCCCCCGTTGTTAAAGCTTAGAAATAATGAAGTCTTAACCCCTGACACTCTCCTGGAATTGCAGAAATTTAAAAGACTGATAACTTTTCCACCCAACTTTGTAAGTAGCTTTCCAGTCTGAAATCTGGTGCTGGAGCTGCTCTTGTCTGCAGAGCTTGAGCCCCAGGTGAGTTTGTACAATAGGTTATGAACCCTCAGTAATAAGGATTTATAATGAGAATCCTGCTATATTCTTAATTATGCTCCTGCTACAGGGTGTCATTACAGTGCACTAATGCCCTCCATATGGCAGATAGCGTGTATTTGGTTCTGTGTAGCTTTATTTAATTACAGACTGTGATCTGAGTAACTTCGCTGCTCGGGCCCGTGCAGGTGCACTGCAGTTCATCTCCCTCATGCTCAGGCCCTGCACTGGTGCTTTATAATCCACCAATTTGGGAAGGGGGCACAGAGGAAGCAAAAGGCATCAATCCCATGCAGGGTGGTGAGGCCCTGGCACAGATTGCCCAGGGAAGCTGTGGCTGCCCCATCCCTGGAAATGTCCAAAATTGGATGGGGCTTGGTCTAGTGGAAGGTGTCCCTGCACATGGCAGTGATTGGAACGAGGTGACCTTTACAGTCCTTTCCAACCCAGAGCATTTGAGGATTCTAGATTTGTTTTCTTCTCTCAGGATGACCTTGCTGTGTCCTTGGCAGCCCCTGATGCTTGTGCAGAGACCGAGAACAAACTCCTGCATTTGTGTTGAGGGTGACTGTAGGTTTGTGAAGCCCCTTCCAGAAAGCTCCAGGAGCATTGAGATGCCACAGAGGCTGGTTGAGTGTCACCCTGATGGGGTGCTGCTCGACCTAGTGATCTCCTTGAGGCCATTGGCTCCTTTGCTGCGAGTGCTGCGAGGTGGGGAATCGCTGTGCAGGACTCCAGTGTCAAAACATCCCCTGTCCTGCAGCGGGACAGACCTTGGCATGCCACGTGTCCTCCAGGCTGGCTTGGCCTCACCGGCCTTCTGCAAACAAATGCCTCTTCCTCCTTTAATAGAACTCTGCTCAGGACAGTTGGTTTTGAGTAAAGCTCTGTTTTGGACTCACTGGCCAGTTGCTATGTTTCCGTGGCCGCCTGCCTGCATGAAGAGCTCACCCCTTCCCTGGCCCCGGGGGACTCTGGACCTCACCCTGCTCCTTATGTCAGGGCACTTTTATTTTTCAGCAAAACATAGGCAAATATGAAAATACATCCAAGAACTTCAGTCCTGGTAACTGCTCTGCAGCTCCTTCCTGTTGTATCCCTGGTTTGACTCTAACGATTCCCCATCCTTGCAGCCTTTCCTTCTCCCAGAATACTTCAACTCTGCAGGACTTCGTCTCCTTTCCTGGTGGGGTTTCAGGGCTCATTGGCCAAAACATTTTCCCATCATAGAGCTACCTGCCCCTCTTGGTAGTATTAATTTAGGAGGCAAAAGCATTTTGCATTTTTATCTCTATGGGTGTGAAAACAAATAAATAATTAAATCCCCACCCCAAACTCACCCCACAGCACCAAGCACAACCAGGGACGGGCGTTTGGTGCTTCAGTGGAAAAACACAGGTTAAGCCAAAACAAACCAGAACTGAGTGTTCAGGCTACAACTAAGTCTGAGCTGCAGCGCTATATTTAAACATGGTATTTTTGTATTTTAATAATTCACCAGTGGGAAAGAACAACCTAAAAAACTGTAGTGTAGGCTATTTCCAAGGTATCTTCTGTTCAGCCCCATCTGAGTGCTGGAGTGCAGGTGAGGAAAGGCTGCAGAGGACAGGGATGCTCTAAAGCATTGGTTCCCTCTCTAGGTTTGTCCTTCCCCTCGTTTTTCTCTTTGCAGCCTCCTAAGAGTTAAATTAAGCTGGTCAGCCATAAGCCCGTGTTTCAGGCGGTGTGTGACTCTGTTTGAGGTGTTTGCTTTTCGTGGAGAGCTGAGGGCATGAGGCAGGATTTCCCTCTGCATTAATGGTGATAGTTGTGACTGTGTGTAACTGTGACTGATGCTTGGCAAAGGAGGGCTGTGAAAGGTAATCCTCTGCCACGTGATTATTTAATTTCCATTCAGTTTTATATAGCACAAGGCAGTTCTCTGCCTTTGAGGAGAAGGTCGTGGGTGTTTCAGTGCTGCAGAAGCACCTGCGAGTCCTCATGGTGGTGTTGGGATTGGCAGTGCCAGGGGCTGAGCCTGGGCAGCATCAAGTCTCTCCTGAATTAGGAAAGGACAGCACAAAGTAAACAAGGGAACTTGGCTGGCAACTTGTTAATTTTCAACTTGAATCCAGCTAGAGATTCCCAGACAAGGTACAAGAGCAGCTCCAGCTCAGAAATGTACCTTGTCCTGAAGCTGATGGGCACCAATCTGCAAAGCTAAACGTCCTTAAACTTCTGGAGCTTAAACTGAATTGACCTCAAGACCCAAACTGTGCAGTAAGTGCTCAGGATTGCAGCAGTGTCCCAGAAATCCTCTGCAGCCTGTTCAGTGTCTGTCCATGGGAAGGAATAGAACAGACAGTACCAGAGCCCTGATTCTGCACCATCCCTTTATTTCCTTCCAGTCCTGCATGGCCACAATGCCCTGAGGGCACTGTGAAATTTGAAGGTTTTGCTGGGGAGCATTTGCTGCTTCAGGGAGGCAAAACCATCTGCTTTGGTGGTTCTTGCTGAAATGAGCCCTGCAGAACTCAGGTGTCTCCCAGCAGTTTCAGCAAAGATCACATTTTAGTCCTGGCTGTGTCCAGGGGCAGAGGAGCAAGGAATGTTTTTGCCTTTAAGACAGGGTGGGACCCTTGTGTGCATTCATTCCAAAACCCATCTTTAACTGGAATTTCTTTTTAGGTCATACTTCCCTTTTCTACCATACATGTTTGGATTCTGATTATTTTTTCCCGGGCTGTTTTTTCTAATCTCCCAGTAAATGGGCATTAGCTGTATTTCAAGCCCAGTAGAGGTGCTTGTCCTTATGGTTTTCCAGGGGTGGGGATCCACATCCTTACTGGCCCTGTTACAGCTCACACGAGTGCCTTCTCCCTGGTGAGATTTAATGCTGCAAGTGCACTGCCCGCTGCTCCCCGCAGGCAGGAAGGGCTTTATGGAGCTCTGCCTTGGCAGGAACCTTTTAAGTGGTTTTTTCTTTGTTTCACCAAGTCTCTAGCAGAGGTCAGCTCCAGGCTGCCCCTGACTGTGACCCCAGCCCCAGGGATGGTTTTGTTGGAGCTGCTTATTTCCAGGCTCTGGCAAGTTGTGGAAGGGAAGGCTCTACAGAGCACCAACTTCTGCAAATCCCTCTGAGCCATCCATCCTGATGAGGACTTTCCCAGGCAAAGTGTCCAGGGTACCTCTTCTGGTTCAGAGGTGCCTTAACATCCTTCCCTGAATTTCTTTGGCTGTCATGTGGCAGTGAAATCCCAGGCTGCTTTACCTTTTTCTGATTTATGAGTAATGCAGCATGTGCTTTTTTTATTTCCAGATTGAGAAGATCATGAGTTCCATTGGTGAAGGCATTGACTTTTCCCAGGAGCAGCAGAGGATCTCAGGTGTGTACTCAGCGTGTGTCCATCTGTCCTGGCAGTGCTCTGCACACAAACAAGGTGCTGGTCTCTTTAACCTGCTTTGGCTCTGGGAGGGAGAGGAAGACTCTGGCACAGGAGGAGCAGATCTGGGCTTCCCATGTGATGCTCAATGCAGCTGCCAGGAATTTTAATTCAACGCTCTCCAGGAAGATTCATTTAATTTTACAGAATGCAGCTGCAGGATTGTCCTCCTGGCTCCTTCTGTGAGGGCAGTAGCTGTGCTGAGCAGGGCTGGGTCATGCCAGTGGCAGGTCATTGCAGGTCCCACGATGTCTGTGCCCTTCAGATGTGGTTAATCTGCCAAGTGCCTCAGTGAGGGTTATCCTGGGCATTCCTGAAGGCACCTGTAGGTATCGATACTCACTGAATGAGGCTCTTGGAGGACACGTGCTTCCCTCTGTACTTAAAGCGTGAATTCCTTTCTCTGCCTTTAAATCCTGAGCAAATGCAGAACTTGAGCTTGCTGGAGAGCTGCCACCACAAGGGATTCTGTCCTTTTAAATCCTTCACCTCCAGGCTGCTGCCGCAGAACGGCTCCAGGTGGGCAGCAGCTCCTCCTGATGAGATGCTAATATGGATCTGCACAGGCAGCTCACACGGGCTGTGACAGAGCTCACCTCGCATCCATTTGTCACTCAGGTTTTTGCTCAGGTGAGGAGGAAGGCACTGTGTGTTCCCAGTGCAATAACCTTGTTCGGGCTCCGTATTCCAGGGTCAGGTGGCTTTGCAGAGGAGTCGAAGCGCTGTGTGAGTTTGGGCTCAGGCTGTGGTCTGGGCTGTGATGGATCAATAGTGCCAGGGAAGGGACTGACATGGAGGGGAGAGGAGGAGCCAGTGCTCCCACAGATCTGCTCTCAAGCAGCCTGGAGCTGCTGTGCTTCTTTATTTTCAGCCTGGGATGTTTTGGGCATCTGTTATCCTCTTTTCCTTTTTAGAGGAAACCCCTCCATTCCATCCCTCTGAATACCTCCCCCCATTCATTCTGTCATGACCTGAAGGGGTTTTATAAACAGAAAACCTGTACTTGTGTCCCTGTAGGTTTCCCTCTTAAAAGCAGAAATACATTTTTGAGCACATGAAAGGCTGAACAGAGTAAATAATTTTTAAAATTAAATTCAGGAGCTCAGGGAAAGGAGCTGCTGTGGTTTCATGCCTCCTGCCAATACCCCGACTGCTCCCAGGAATGCTGTGGTAGGCACCAGGCAGTTCCTCACCTCTCTCTTGATAAATGAATTCTGAGCCAGCCACAAATCACTTGGAACTGTCAGAGCAGACCTGTGACATCATTTTTTGAAAACCCCAAGCCATATCATCCATCATCCAGTAAATATTGAGGAGTCAGTGATTTCCACTGGAGAGTTAGGGAGCTGCTGCCTCCCTCCCGGCTGTTGCGGCGGGTGGGAGCGCTGGGAGGGGTGAGAGGATGAGGAGAAGGGAGGGACGGGCAGCGCGGGGCTCGCCGGCTCAGACAAAGCCGCCGCAGCCGCTGGCGGAGCGCAGGGACCGGCGGAGGGGAGGATGGAGCCCGGGGGAGCCGGGAGCCCGTGGGACACAGTCCGGGTTTAGTTGGTGCCCCGGTGCACAGGCTGGGTCAGGGGAGGGGGGGCAGAAGCCTTTTGTGATCTCAGCACTGCTCGTACGCTGGAAGGACCGACCGGCGCTGCCCAACAGCTCCCTGGGCAGAGCAGCAATCCCGTGGAGCAGACAGCAGGAATCACCCCAAGAATCTGCAGATGACACCGTGAGCTCTGTGTGTGCAGCCATTGCAGCAGAGCGGGGAGGGATGGCTGGAAGGTACCAAACCGCTTCAGCTGACCAGAAGGTTCAAAGGAAGCAAACTGGGGTCTCCTGATCATCCTTTTCTTTGCATCCACGGTGGAAACAGATGTGCCAGGGAGCCTGAAAATCTGCCTGTCTTGCATAGCAAATTCTCTGATGAAAAGGAGAGCTCTGAACTTTTTTTCTCATATTTAAGGTCTCGAGTTTTTCTAGAGGAGAGTAACAAGTCACTGGACTCATCCCAAGGGTGAAGGAAGGGAGAGCTCGTCCATACGGCTTCCGTAGGTGCTGGGAGGAATCTATCGGAGGCTGAGGGGAGGTGGCAGGGCAGGGCTCAGACTTGAGCTGCTGCAGGAAGAGGAGAGGGTGTGCTTGCATTTGCTTGCTTTTTGTTTTGATGTGGTTTGGAAGCAGGGAACCGAAATGCCTCCTCCTGCAGAGCTGCTCCTTGTCTGAGCAAGGGGCTCGATGCGGCGGCTGCGCAGGGCTGAAGAAAATGAAGGAAGGTCAAATCCAGGTGTGCGCCCAGCGCCTGGCAGGGCCGGAGGTGTGGGGTGAGAAGGGTCCCGACTGCGCTGTCGTGCGGTGCAGCGGCAGGGCCGGGCTCTCCGGGGCAGCCAGCCCGGTCCCGGCAGTGTGCTGGAATGCCACCCGGCTGGGGCACTGGTAGAATGACAGTGCCAGGGCTCCCGGACTCGTGCTCGGGATCCCCATGACACGGTAACGGCGAGACAAAGCCCCTGCCATGGTTTGCCTCTCTCAGGACTGCTGGGAAGGAAGAGCACAAGCCCTTTCTCTCTGCTGCTGCAGTCTGTGCTTCCTTTGTCTTGCGTGTCTTCCCGCGGACAGCCTGGGCTCCTGCTGCTGTTCCGAGCGTCCACCGTGTCTGTGCTGGCTTGGCTGCACGAAGCTGTTTTCTCTCAGGCTGCTCTGCGCTCCCTGCTGAGCAGGGGATGCATCTGGAGGTGCACGGATGAGAGGACTGGAACAGCTCCGTGCGTTCAGGAGCGGCTCCGCTCCCTTCCCTCGCACCTGCAACTGCCTGGGAATGCCTCGGGTGGAAGTTTGCTGTTCTCCTCCCGCCCCCTTCTGCTGAGCCAAGGAGTGGACCCGCATTCCCGTGGGGTTGGGCTTCATGTGTTTGTCTGGCGAGGAACTCAGGAGCCCTGACAGCAGTGCCCGTGATCTCGGCGCCCCAGCAGCGCCTCTGAACCTCTGCCCGGGCGAGGAGTTTCTTTTCTGAGTGTGAACTGCGGTACAGGTTGCACCCAGAGCCCACGGAGGCACTGGAAGCTTGTTGTCCATGGTCTGTGCACACAAGAGCAATTGTCTGCCAGCTGATTTGTTGTACTCTGAGCATAATTTTTTGAGTTTCTTTATGGTAATGACTATGATGTGGCAATGCCATCTGTCCTCCTCAGAGTGCCGCTGCTACCGCCTGAACGGTTTCTCCCTGTTCAAGCGGCTGCCGATTCCTCTCTCGTCAGGTTCGCGGATGCTGGAGCAGAGCGTCGGGGAGTGGCTGGAGTCCATCGGCCTGCAGCAGTACGAGAGCAAGCTGCTCCTGAACGGCTTCGACGATGTTCGCTTCCTGGTGAGTGTCCGGGAGGGACCCCGGGCTCTGAGGAGCGGGTTGGCCAAAGCTTCCCGCGTTACCGGTGCCCCGTGTCGGTGCCAAGCAGAGCTGGTTCTGCTGCCCGGCACAATGGTCTTGGGGGGTGTAGAAGGTTTGACAGAAGGAATAGATGAGGGTTGTGTTGGGTCTTCACATTTAATGCAGGTGTTACTGCTTTTTCACTGGAATTTTCATAGAAAATTTTACTTCATCTGCCCCCTAAATATGTACTGTTTGATTTGCTCCAGAAATGTGAACTGAAATTCACTGGTGTTCTGAAGGAGTCCCTGAACAGTCTGTGCCCTGGGCTGTGAAGGAGGCAACAGACTTCTTGCTGGAACCGTACTTGCTCTTAGCATGCAGGCAGGATGTTAATGAACTGTACCTAATTACATTGACACTGTTGGCTCTGAAACCTAATGACGACAACTCAGTACTGCTCAGTGATGAGGGTTTCTAATAACCAGGGTCTATAAACTTGAAACCGCATTGTGTGAAAAACTGAGAATTCGTGTGGAATGCTGAAGTGCAAAGATGGAAAATCTTGGTCCTGCAGGAGAGTTCTCCTTGCATGGCTTAAAGAAGTGCTTTTGATGTGGACTCTGAGTTTGGCAAATAACAAAAAATGGATGTAAACCTTTGGAAAAGTCATTCCGGTTAATGTTGCATCCTGCCTTGGAACGGTGGGGATCCCTCTGGTACTGGGGATGGTGTGGAGAGGTGACACCAGGAGGATGTGAGGGGCTTTGGGAACACGCAGTGGCCCTCAGCGGTGGGGAGGGCAGGGGAGGCAGGTGGAGAGAGACAGGAAGCCAGGAAAGGGCATGGATGGAGTGCAAGGAAGCGACACCTGAGCAGTGGCTGTTGGGCTGCTTTGGGGTAGGGTGTAAATAAGCTTTAAAAAATGACCCAACCAACAGGATAAATATCATGGGATCTATCCAGATGTATCTCCAGCAAGCAGCTGGTCCCTTCATCTGGCAGAGTCAGTGTTCCCCCCAGAGCTGTCGTCTGCTGTGGTTTTTCCCCCAGTGTCCCACCAGACTGGTCCCAACCCCCAGTGCACTCCCGGCTTCACTGTGCTTTGTGTAGGACATTCAGCTCCGTGCGAGGGTCCCTGGGTGTGCTGGGGCAGTCTGACATGACTTCTGGGGTGCTCTGGAGGTGGTGCAACAAATTGAAATGAAATAACCCTGTAGATCCTTTTGGGATGCCCTGCTGATGGATCTGTGACCATTATGGGGTTGGTGGCTGCTCTCACCCAGCAGTGGTAGATAAAATGCTGCTCCCCTGCCTGGCCAGGGGTGATGGACCTCACTGAGCTCAGAACTTCAGTAGCAAAGGTTCCTGTGTGGTGGTGTTAGGTACGTGATAGGATTTGCTTTTGTCATGGCTGGATGTTTTTCTTCCCTGTCCAGTGCTGAGTGGCTGCTCCCAGTGCAGCAATTGGCTGCAGCTCGATTCAGGGAATGGGACACTCCTTGCTCATTCCTCTCAAAGGTAAAAGGTCAAATAATTTCACAAAGATTTCCTGCAAATCCCTGCTGATTTCCATTTTACCGCTTATCCCTTTTCCTAGGGAGTTGACTCCAGCACCCGTGCCAAGCCTGGCTTTAAATCCATTCATCCCAGCCCTGGGAACTCCAAGCTAATACATCAGCCCAGTAGGAAAGTAAAATTATTCAGAATTCTTTCCTCTGTGATGTTCCTTGCCTTCAGTTTCTGGTGTTGGGGAAGTAAAACCATCAGGTACAGCACAAGTGAGGAACAAGTATTTAATTTGGTTCTGCTGGTGATTTTGATGTTCTTGGATGAACTGTTAAAATTGCAGTGACCACTGAAGCTGGGCAGACCAGGAGCACTGAGTGCCCGAGGCACTGGACGCCTGGCAGGCTGCTCAGTCCTCCTCTTCTCACAACCATTTCTGCCCTACCTGCCCCTTCCAGTGGCTAACAAAGAATATTCCAAACTAAGTGGCATTACTTTCCTGGAGTTAAACAGTTTCTATAAGAGGATTAGTCCCTCTTAGGGCTTCACTGTGTTCAATATTTCAAGGTCCAAAGAACACCAGGTAACGGTTTGCAAACTGCCAGATGGGCTGTGAGGCTAATTAAGTTTTAGTAGCCAAAATTAGGAAGTTGGAGTCCTTTGATACAGTAACAGTTGTTTTCTGTGCAGGATTTTGCTTTGCATTGCTCCCTGCTCATAGAGCTGCAGGGTGTTCCAGGTGCCAGGATGCTCCTTTTTCTCCAGGGTCCCCCAGGTGCCATTTGGGGGCAAACAAGAAGCTTTGCAGGAGCAAAGTGTTTGATGTGCAGAGGTCGTGCAGCTGCAGAGCAGGGCAGTCCTGAAAGAGCCCTTTAATGTACTGAGGAAGATACTCAGCCTGTAGCAGGTTACTCAGAAGAGGAGTAAGAGCAGACACGAGGAGCGTGTCCTGTCTCCGCAGCGGGGACAGTGAGAGCCAGTGTGTGCTGGCACCACTTGGTGCTGTTCTTCCCTGGAGAAAGAGGTGTTTAAAGTGCCCTGTCTGCCCCAGGAGTGGGGCAGGGTTGCAAGAAACACAGACTGAGGGTGCTGGCCTTGCTGGTGCTGCTCAGTGCTCTGGTAGCCTGTACTTCAGCCGGTTCTGGTTTCAGGGATTCCTGAATCCCTGGGTATTTTCAGCTGGCTCCTGTTTTAATTTGCACCCTGTGTCACAAGAACCTTTACCACCAGGTAGGGAAATGATTCATGAACGCACCGTGTGTAAAGGGAGTCTGAGAAGTGCTCTGTAAATATATTTGGCTTCTTAATTAGACATTAATGTAGGAAGGCAGAAACAGGCATTGTTTCCAAGAATAACACTTCCGTTATTTTCAGAGCTCCAGGGATTGGGGATTAGGGGATTAGCTGTGCTCTGGCCACACACCAGCACTGTTGCTGGTGATGACTCTGGGCAGGCTGCACCTCGGGTGGACAGTGGGGAGGGAGTGAGGGTCCTGCTCCTCTCGGGGTCTGCTGTGCACCAACAGCTGAGGGGGGCTCTGGGTTCCTGCAGCTCCTACAGGTTTGCAGGGACTGGGAACCGTGAGCGTCTCCCAGGCTGGGCTGTGAAGGGGGAAGGTGCGGTGTGTTGGAGCCAGGCAAGGTCCAGTGGAGGCCTCTCTGCTCCTGGGAATTCCAGCTCTGCATCTGGGACAAAGTTGATCTTGGTCTAGCGATGGCTTCACTCAGGGATGGGTATTACTTGCACAAGTCAGCAGGATTCTTTAGACATTGATGTGACGTGATGCCTTCACCCATGTACGTGTTTCTGGAAGGGACCGAGGTCTATGTGGATCTCAGATTGTGTAATCTTTCAGCTTGGCTGAGGGAAGAAAGGAGTGATGAAAGATAAATTTAGGTAGCTTAGTTTTCCAAAAGACTTGAGTTCTCTTTCCACATCTGCACATTGAACCACATCTCCGTGTCTGCAGAAATTCTTCTACTCCCTTCAAGTTGCCTGCAGTAGCTTTGCTGTGTTTATGGACAAGGCAAGGAAGAGGCTTTCCCTGTTATTCTATTGCTCTCAAGCACAAACCCCACTGTCCGGTGCAGCAGCTTCTTGCCCTCTGGGTTGCAGAGTGACCTTCACGGGCAGCACCACTGCCACGGGGCAATCACACTGGGACACTCAGCTGCTGCTTTTCATATGGAGCTGGAATTGGGCAGCAGCCTGTACAGGCAGCTGGGATTAGGAGGAGCTCAAGTGGAGATGGCGCTTCCAAGTCTTCTCTGCTCTGCAGCCCGCTGGGATTCCTTCATTAGAGGGGAAAGTTTATTTGTGCGGTGGGTGAGCACAACTGAGCCAAAGCTGCTGCCAGTGGCTGTGCTGTCCTTGACTTAGCAAAAATACAGCTCTGCAAGTAGGATAAAATCCTCAGCAGAGCTGCCTGCCAAATGTGAACAGCTCCAGTGAACCAGGAATATCCCACCACCACTGGTGGCAGCCCCGCTGCCTTCCACGTGGAGGAACGTGACCCCGGGGTGTGAGCCGAGTTCCAGGAGCCCCATTGCCTCATCCCTCACCAGAGGAGGGAAATGAAAGGTAATATCACAAAACTGCACCAGTGAGTGAGAAGTGTCATCCAGAAAAGTGCACAATAAATGGACTTAATTGTCCTTGGCAGGTAATGAACCAGGGAGTAGGAGAGCAGAAAAAATATCACAGGAATATGGACCAAGAGGGTTTCTGCTGCTCCTGGAGCTTGGCCCCATTTTGTCAGCTGTGGTCAACAGTGCATCTGCTGCAGATGCTTCACGTGGGAATTCCATAGGAGATGAGCTTTGGGATGCCCAGTGCATTCCTGGTCCTTGCAGCAAACAGGGAATGGCTGGGGAAAGGCCAGGCTGGACTCTGCCCTTCATGAGAGGGAAGGGATGTGGCCACTGTAATGAGAAGGAATTGCAGTAATTGATGGTAGAATTTCCCCACAGAAATGGGGAGGGGAATGCCATTACCTGCTCTCTCACACAGTGTTTTGTGATCCCACAGATCCTGTAAATGTGTCTGAGATGTTTGCAAAAGCTTTTCCCTTCCCTTGGGGCACGGGATAGTTGCTGCTGCCCCCGACAGTTTCCAGGCTGACATCTGAGAAGGGCAAACCCTGTGTGCTCTGGCAGTTGTACCAGTGTTCTGCAGTTGAACTTTTTATTCAGTCCAAAGGTATTTTGATTCACAAATGGGCAGGTAAAAGAGAATATAAACCATTTTTTATGGCTTTTTTTTATTGTTCAAGCCTGGATTCCCATGGAGTGTGTGGAAAGCAGCTAATGCTGATTCAATGAGACAGCGTCAGAAAGGGAAATCTGTTCTCTGCATGTAGTGCCCTGGGCTCCTCTGGTGGGGGGGTTATTTATTTTTTTATAATTGGGAAGAAGCAGTGGAAAATGATGGTGTTGGAAGAAGGGTGTGTTTGCAAATAATTTAAAGTACTGACATTAATTTGATTCAGAGC